TAACCATCATGTGTGTCACTGTCAGAGTCTGTGTTCACTGTCTGCGTGCTTCGGTCAACGTTCATCTGAGACCTAGACGACGTATGTGGGCTCTCACCCCTTGCTTACTTTCTGGCTGTGAGTCTTGGTTTAAACTGTCAGTCTGACTCATACCTGATACTTTCCACTGTTTATTACAGACATACCATATTCGCAAGATGGTCCGTTTAAATAATTTGGTATGTTCCCGTAACTCCAGTCTTCAAGAAACGCAACGTTTTGTTGGCCATTTTGTTTTCTGTACGTCACCTTGTTGCATGGTTTCGACGAGGTGGTACCAACACCGTTTTCAGGAAACGCCGTATGTTCCCTGTTATTCGTCGCTCACTGGCCGAAGACATAAATAAGGCGGCAAGGTCTGCAACATAAACTTGCGCACCCTTGGAGTGAGCTTATATGTCCTGCCATTGCGGTGGTTTACATTCACAATAACTATTGTCATAATCACTGAGATCATAACGAGCGCCATACTAAATATAATATACTGTTCAATCAAGGGCACACCGGTAGAGGTCGCTGGCAGTGTATCAGACACAATCACGCTGAGTACAGACAATGTTAAGAGAATGGATATCCCAAGAGTCAACTTCTCCCCAGAATCGGCTGGCAGATAAAACGTAAACAGTGTAAGAATAGTCAATATAGCGCAGGGCAGTGTTAGGTTAATGAGATAGTATAACGGTTTTCTGCGCATGACCAAAGTAAAAGTGACAAGACTGAAGACTTGTGGACAGCATGGATAACTTTCTATGAGCGATTCGGCCTTAGAGTCTATGACCTCCCATTCCACGTTATCTAAGTAATCCTCTTTCACGACGTGGTCGTCCATTGGCTGTAAGAACGTTTCGTTGCCGGTGTACTCCCACGTACCGAAGCTAAGGTGGCAGCTCTGTTCGTCGAATGGAAAATGTAGGATGTCGATGAGGCACGGACTGATCAGCATTGTTGGCGGTCCCATGGAAATCGTACCATCGTAATAGATACGTGTATACAAAGGCGTCTGTAGTACGTAGGAGTTATCTTCATGTTTCCCACTAAAATATATCATCACAATGAGGTTAAACATTTAATAGTATTGTATGCAAAGTAATAATGAATATAATAAAATATTGACAATTGTTATGATAGCTATTAGTTACAACTGCTTATGGTTACTTAGCGACAGCTTTAATTTCGTTTTCAATAATGCGACATAATTGACAATATTCACATTCATTATATCTAGTATTATTTGATCTAATGACCTTAATTCATTGTTGCTAGATAGTAATAAAAATCTTTCTAACACTATCAAATCACCGATGAGAAAAACACTGGAAAGATATATATAACAGAAATAGACTAATGTATTTGTTTATAGCTGAGTGATAAATGTTAAAGTTTCATTCCCACTTTGTATAAGCAGAACACCTCCTACAGATTATCATGATCCCGTGACCGCGAAAAATAATAAAATTAGTTGGTATGGCAACAAATTAAGAAAACATTGAAATTAGCCTGTACTGTCTAATCTAATTTACCTAACAGGACAATGCAAGGTGAAATGCACCTGAGAATTCCTTCGACCTGAGCACCACTCATTCATTCTCATTTTACCTGTTATATAAGACCATATCTGGATACCAGACGTCTCCAAACGGCACAATCACATTGTCAACACCACTGTAGTTTGCAGGATTCCAAGTTAGCCGTATATCACGCCATTCCTAAGACAGGATTTAGATTTATAGTAATGCATAACGTTCTATAGAATAAAGGCTACTTGCTGAAACTATTGTACCATTTCACACAATAAAAAAACATAAACTACTTTCATGTGAATTATTAACACCGGACGTGAAGAGTCGGAGTGTAGAAACCATTTTAGTATGCGAACGGTTCTACGTGTCATAAAAATAATCACCAACGGTCTTGGATTATGACATATTTTGTAGTATGCCTGTATACCACTCACGTATACACTGCAATACAATATAATATATTCTTTATTTTTTTTAGTATTACGGTTCAGCGTATGTCTCAGTAACAATTATTTTACACTTAAAATGTTACACGAGCTGTTATGACGCAATACTCAGGCTCTAAATAATCAATCAATAATTAAATTCGATATAACTATTCGCACGTGAACATATTAACATATTTATTACTTATTTAGTTGAATTACAATTACTGTAATTTATTTCTAATAAAGATGCTGATTACCATTCCAAATATCCAATTATCGGCTCACGGCAATGCAAATCACGAGTTGTCAAATGCGCTGTCCCGTAGGATACGGGACGCAGTTTCAAAGTACAAATGAATTGTGTTTCCACTGAACTGATTTATAAGCTGGTGACATCGCTATATAAATCTAGATAATCGTTTTTTCATTTTAAAAATGGGGGATACCAGTTTTCGATATTGAATCAGAGTACATATTTCACACAGTGTCTAAACTTATTGACCATCGTGTCAACAGCTGGGATTGACAGTATTGACTGGAGAAACATCATCAAGGTAAAACAAATTGCCTAATCTATCACCCATTCAACAAGAAAATATTCATCAAACAAATTGGTTTTTAGTGATGAATGCTAACGTGAAGGATTACTTTCCAATAGATGATTACGCCTATATTCACACAGCGTAATAAACTATTTAAGACAATCAAAGTAGGCTAATCTAGATTACACTACCACATTCTTGCAGATCTTTCCTAATTAGGAGGGTGCTAAAATTGCCAAAACCCTTCATACCCTTCATAAATGTGTAGGTCGTTTCCGAGTATATGGCTTTCCGACGTGCATGTGTACAAAGATGCAAAGACATGTCACGTGACTTACCTGATTCAACCAAACACGAGTGGTTATCATTTGATTCTTTTCATCCTAATAAAAACAAAGTAAATCATTGTGCTTCTCAAATTCATTTCATACTCATTTGTCAAAAGATACATATCAAATGAAATTATAATGTTATAATGAGTAAATCTATGTCCATTGAAGTGAATTGCTGTAATTGCCTGCCACAATCAGACAAATGCTAAATCAATAACATGTGGAATATATGACTATTCTCATCACCATGGAAACAAACTTACCACATCCACTAGCTGGTTGAGGGATAGTCCAAAATCAATTCGAATAGAGTCGTCTGCATTTATAGCGGGGCGTGAATATCTGTCGTAGTTCTCAAAAAGGTCTTTACGAAGACGAGTAAAGATGTCGTAGGCAGGTATATCTGAAATAAGGTGTTTTATTTTTAAATTAATTGACAAGTATGGTAGTCCTGTAAGATACTTAGTACATAGACATACTAGTTGAAATATTTGATAGGGGACATTTCCAATACGTGTCATCCATCCACAATGAGTTTCTTATGATTTAAGTTTTACTTAATTAATGTATTAACTATTTATTCTATAATTTCAGATTACGACGATAATGTTAAAAACTGTTAAAAATGCAATTACGATTCTTTTGTGATAGGTATGCACACTTACTGTAGTCTAATCAGTTTAAGTAAATTGTATATTGTGTTTTTATATTGCATTGCAAATTCCATTATAAATCGACCGATGACGAATTCAGTGCTCCGATGTGGTCGGTGTGCTGGCGTCAATATATCTATGTACGTTATTTATTTATACAACGCCAACTTCAATCAGCCAATCGCGGATGAACAGGTCGTATTGTCGAATCTCACTCTCTTGTAGAATACATATACTCTTGTAACACGGCACAGTTGTTATTATCCTGACCATAGATCAATATTCTATATTTGCGTCATTGAAAAACTACATAAGGTAATTGCAATGAATCATCGTGAATTACACAACATCTGTTGCCATTGTTTTTTACTGGCCTGACAATTTATGTGGATTGCCAAAACATGATTTAATGAAATTATCAGGCAAACGCAGACACATTTAACATTTGTTCAAAAAGTGTATATAACCTGGGATGAACAGTGTCATTATTTTTTTAATCCGAAAATCACTCGACACCATGGCGTCGAACAACCCAAATAAAACAAAAAATTCTGCAAGGCAGTAGCCATTCTGAATATTGTGATAAAACTAAATGACGTCGGTCGGTCGATCCGTAACCCACCTTTGCTGCGCTTACACGACAGAATTTTATCGGTGTCTTATGATGCCGTTCGGCTAGAGCTGGTTCGAGCCAAGCTCGGCTTCAATAAATCCTCGGGGTTGATCTCATGGGCCCGACATGACTCTGACCATGTAAACGCATCGGACCTAAATCACGCGTACATATTACCATGGTACCAAGTTCAATAAAATCAGCCCAGAATGTGATCTATTCAAAAAGTATCCATCCTCTTTAAAGACCATTTATATGGCATTACAAGCTATTCAAAAATAATGCGTGGAACATTTAGACGGTTCGTCGTTTCAAGTAATATTACTCACGATGTCGACGTATTTAGCAACGTAGCAATCGTTCAAAAGATGTCTGAAAACGAACGAACGTATGGATGGATGAACTAGCAAACGAACAATCACAAGTGCGAACGAACGGACAGACGGTATAATAAACTGTCCTTCCCGAATGAAGGAAAGAAAACAACTTAGTATCCACCATATTTAATCTTTGAGTCCTAATCATAGAAGAGAGAGCGACACTAGTACATGTATTCAACAACAATCACAAACTTTGTTATCGTTACACCTCGCATCCACTCCACCAATTCCCCAATCCACACCCGATAACAATGTCACGTGCCGTTAGAGCTAACTTTTACATAAATAGGATATCTTGTGAAAACCAAATTTTCAGTCTTCATTTGGCCCCTCATTTGTAATACAGTCGTGTAAATATATGGAACGTCAAATACAATTGTAATACTAATATCGACCGGCAAGCCAATACATGAAAAAAACACACGGAATATTCTTTTTATTGACAATTATAATAAGTGGAAAAGCAAACCCGATATTATATCAAATTTAATGGTTTAGTTTCACTTTCAATAACACAGTAATTTAATAAGTCAATCCTGTACAGAAAGGAACTATGGTGCTTTGATGTAAAGTGAATTTTACAAACGAGAATATAAAAATGAATAATGGCTGTGACGGATTGACGTATTATTATGAAAT